CAGAATGAAACACTGCCCGATCCTGGGCCAACCTCACTACTGTTGCCATGCTTGAGTCCATTGATGCTGCCACTTGGCCAATCCATCTCGTTGGGCATCCTCCTCTTTTTCTCTAACCCTCCACCTTACCAAACATGATATCCTTCTCCAGCGACTGGTCCCTTCTGATAATATGTCCAAAGTATGAGATACGAAGTTTGGCCATCTTGGCCTCTAAAGAGCACTCTGGCTGCACTTCTTCCAAAACGGATCTATTGGTTCTTTTGACAGCCCATAGCACTTTCAATATTCTCCTCTAACACCATAACTCAAAAGCATCAATTCTTCTATGGTCTTTCTTATTCACTGTCCAGCTTTCGCATGCATATAAGGTCACTGAAAATACCATGGCTTGGGTGCACCTTACTCCTTATTACGTGTTAATTCTGTTTTTTCCATAAACTTTAGGAAGCCCCCGCATATATAAATACATACACATACATGCATATGTATCTATATGAGTCCTGGTGGTGCACTGATTAAGTGCTTGGCTGCTAATCGGAAAGTTGGTGGTTTGAGCCCACCAGTTGCCCTGCAAGAGAACGATGCGGTAGAATATTTCCATAAGAACAGATAGTCTTGGAAATGCTCTGGGGCAGTTCTGCTCTGTCCTTTAAGAGCACTGTGAGTCCGAACTGACTCAGTGGCAGTAGGCACATGAGTGTGTATGTATGTATCGTTCATCATCCTCTGCCCCTGCTGAATTCTGTGAAAATCCCTTTCTCTGCCGTATTAGACACATCTCCTATTTTTCTCCTCTCCATTCCTGCTTCTTAGTCAAACAGAACCATTTTTAACATTTAAGTCACATACTTGGGCTCTGCCACCTCTTCTAGAAGTTTTCCCCACCCTAAAAGAATGATGTTCAGTGTCATGGCACTATGGTATGTGGATTAAGCATATGTTCTAGGCCACTGATGATGGACAGAGCCTGTGTCTCATTCCAGGTGGTGAAATTGTGCCGGGAGTGTCTGCAGAAGCAGGAGCCAGTGTTTGCTGACACCAACCTCTACAGGCTGCGGATGCTAAGCATTGTCTCAGAGATCCTCTCGTATCTCCAGGCCTTTGATGAAGCAGCTGACTATGCAAGAAGGATGGTGGATGGCTACATGTAGGTGATGATCTTTGGTCTCAAAGAGTCTCATGAAAGTGTGCCTATTTTAAGGATGGCAAACAGATGTCACACATGTCACTGCTGTTCCCTCCTGCGCCCACAGCAGGCATCAGCATTTGATCATAGTCGTCTTTATCAGTGAGCATTTTTACCACGGCACTCTAAGTAGTAATGAGCAAACCCTTTCCAACTATTTAATCGGTTTTGGTACCTAAGATGAAATATTGCCAAGCTTGGTCTTTCCCAGATCCTCCAGCATTTCTATCACTTGAATAACATTCTGGTTGCCCTAAGGCTAAGTCCGGTTTGATTTTTTTTGTATTTGAAAAGGGTTTTCCTCCTTAACAATCAACATGGGAAATCCCTTCTTTTTCCTGGGAAACTCCTAAATTTTATCTCAAGTTGATCTTCCATCTCTAGGATGCAGCTGCCTCACAGGGCTGGTTGGAGGAGCAGGAGTATTTAACCAATGAGGACACTTAATAAACTGTCACATGCTGTGCAGAAATAAGGACAATTGGGATTCTGTGCTATGATTGGTTATTATGTCCCAACAGGAAGCTCTACCATCCCAACAATGCCCAACTGGGCATGGCCGTGATGCGGGCAGGGCTGACCAATTGGCATGCTGGTAACATTGAGGTGGGGCATGGGATGATATGCAAAGCCTATGCCATTCTCCTGGTGACACATGGACCCTCCCACCCAATCACCAAGGACTTAGAGGCAAGTAAAGATGCTACATTACTTGGGCTCTCACTCGCTGGTCTGGGCTCTCTGTGGATGAGACGTAGACTTGAAGTGGATTCTTCTGCAGTAAAGTCCATACATTTCCAGCCAGACAAGAAGGAAATGTAAAAGTATGTTAGCTCACTCTCTCCCCATCTCTTTTAAAACATATGAGGAAACTGAGGTCCAGGGAAGGGAAGTAATTTGTCCATAGTTATGTAGTGGACTGAGCGCAAAGCTGAAACGTAGACCCTGTTGCACCATCATGCCCCAAGCCTGAACTGATAAAGTCTGAACAGTGTTGTGTGTGAGTGAATGTGTGTGTACCCATTTACATTAGAAAGAATTCTGGGCTGTGGAGTTTGGGAACATTGGCTCAGGGATCAGATCACCTAGATTGAGTTCAACTTCTCAACTTGCTCACTGTGTGACTTTGTACATATTGGATATGATGGGTCTCAGATTCCTCCTTAATAAATTGGGTTCTAGGCTCAAGTAGGGAGTCCTGGTACGCTGCTGTAGGATAAGCACTGGATTGCATGGTCAGTTTGAACTGCAGAGTCGGTGGTTCAAATTCACCAGCAACTCCTCTGCTATACAGGGTCGCTATGAGTCAGAACCGACATGACAGCACTTAACAACAGGCTTAATTAGAATCCAGTAAAATGATTGAGGCCTCTAAAATCACAGTGCTGTGATGAGGGGTTAATGGATTAATGTAAAATTCTTAGGACCCAAACCCAACTCTCTGCTATTCAGTCAATACTGACTCACAGAGACCTTGCATAAGGTTTCTGAGACTATAAATCTTTAGGGGGGCAGAAAGCCTCCTCTTTCTCCTGTGGAGCAGCTGGTAGGTTTGAACTGCCACCTGTTGGTTAGCAGTCCAGCGCTTATCCTGCAGCCCCACCAGGATTCCTTAAAGCTCTTAGTACACAGTCTGGCAAACTGTATTGTCTCAACGACTTCTGGTTGCCTTTGTGCTAGTTATTTGAGTGACAGGGCTGCTCTCAGAGGGTGAAATGTAAGGAAAGAGCAGATTTTGGTGTCAGAAAAGCTGTTGCAAAATGGTTCTGCCACTTAGGACTTCTGTGAACTTTTACTTCTGTTGGTGGTAGTGGTGATGGTGTGCCGTGGAGTTCGTTCTGACTCATAGCGACCCTGCATAGGGTTTCCGAGGCTGTAAATCTTTATGGGAGCAGAAAGCCTCATCTTTCTCCCATGAAACAGCTGGTAGTTTAGAACTGTTGACCCTGAGGTTAGCAGCCCGATTTGTAACCACTACGCTACCAGAGCTCCTTTTACTTCCTTTATGCCCATTTACTTCTCAGTGACCTTTTACTTTTTGGACCCCCAGTTTCCTCACCTGTATGGTGAGGATAATATACTACTGCTTCTGTACACCATGGAGTTGGTGCTGACTTTTAGTGACCCTGCACAGGGTTTCTGAGGCTGTAAATCTTGATGGGAGCAGAACGCCTCATCTTTCTCCCAAGGAGTGGCTGTTGGGTTTGAATTGCTGGCCTTCTGGTTAGCAGCCCACCATACTACCAGTGGGGAATAATATATTGACCCCTCAAAATTGATGTGAAGGTCAAGTGAGGGTCAGAAGTGGAAATGACCAACTATGTCTAGTATATTAAGCTCCTTCCCAGGCAGACATGTTATCTGCTGTGTTCACTGCTGTGTCCTCAGCCCTTTGCATGGTACTTGGCCCTTGACAAGTATCTGCAGACTTTTCATACGTAGTTCACTGCAGTCTTCACAACCTCTATACGGTATGTAGGAATCTCATTCATTTCATTCATGGGAACACTGACGGTGGAACATGTGCTTTCCTAAAGTCCCACAACCAGTACATGTGGGATCCAGGGATCGAGCCCAGAAACAATCCCTCATTTATCTTCTGAGGGTCCCAGACATCCCCTCACAAACATATAATGAGTGAATGAAGAAGAAGTGTTGACTGAATCTCAGTGACTGAGAGTCATTTACCCCATAGTCTGTCCTTTCAAAAGGGTCCAAGGAGGTCAAAGACCAATTGGGGGCTTGTCATCAATGTTTATGGTGTATCTGTGTCCCACAGGCCATGCGGGTGCAGACGGAGTTGGAGCTGCGCATGTTTCGCCAGAACGAGTTCATGTACCACAAGATGCGTGAGGCTGCCCTGAGCAACCAGCCCATGCAGGTCATGGCTGAACCCAGCCAAGAGCCAGCCCCAGCCCTGTTCCATAAGAAGCAGTGAGGCATTCCCTTGTAGGGGAGTGGCACCCTGGCTGGGGAACTGGGGAGAGATTCTGGAGGCAGTGGTCTTTGGGGAGATCCTTGGTGGGGAATTTGGGATAACGTTCAACCTGTTGTTGTGGGAACAAATGCTCTATGTTCCTTGAGGTTCTCTTGGTTCAATTCAACTCAGTTCAATTTACATTAACTCTATCTTTCTCTCCTTGGTCTAAGTCTGGAAATTTTTATTGCATGCTGGGCCCTGAAGATAAAAGAGCTCCATGTGTATCTGGGGAGGCAAAATAGCAAAATGCAAACAGGCAATGAAAATACAGTCATAAATGTAACGATCAACTAGATGAAGAGAGGAGGGAGTGTGTCTCATATGCAGTGTGTGTGTGTGTATGTGCGTGTATGTGCGTGTGGTGGGGCTGCCATGGAGAAGATGATGTTCTCTCTCTGTGACATGGCTTTTCAGTCTCCTTCATTGGCTCTCTTTCTCTGCTTGCCTCATATGTTGTCATTTTCTGGAGTTGGTTTTATCCTTGGCTCATTCTTATGTCACTGTACGCGCACTCCCTGGGTGAGTTCAGTCAAGTCCTTGCTTTAATAACCTTGAGACTGATGAGTCCCAAATCTGTGTTACCCAACCTTGCTCTTGAGTTCTCACCACACACCCCCTTGGATGTTTTGCAGGCAGGTCAAGCTCAGTAAGTCAAAACTGAAACTTTCTCTTTTCTTTTCCCCATCCTCAAAATCTTTTCCTCCTTAGCACACCACACAAGAGCATCATGATTGGACACCTGCTCTAGACACTTCCTGATTCTCTATTGCATCTTCTACTTTAGTCAAGCCCAGTTGCTCTTGAGTCCATGAGTAAACAGCAGTCTCTAGTCCCCCTTTTTGAATTTTGAAACGTTCAGTCTAAAATTCCTGAAAGCTAGCCATTTTCCCTTAATTCACTAACACCAGTTTGGGAATCACCTCTTCTGTGAAGCTTTCTTTGATTGAAGCCCTGGATTGAGCTGGCTTCCCTACCTGAGTCTCTCATGCCATCCTTAAATCCACCTTCATAACCCTCTTCTCATAGCATTATAATTGCCTTTTTACTTATCAGTCTCCTCTTTCAGACTGAGTTTCTAGAGGACAAGGACTATGCCCCCTGACCCATCCTTCTATCCCCAACACTTAGCCCAGGTCTGGGAACATAGTTGGTGCTCAGTGAGTATGTGTTGAATGACTGTAGGAATGCATGAATATATTTGCATATCTAAGAGGAAAAAGGCACGAAACTGTGTATTTTGAAGTTTTTATGTTATAAAAGTCAATAAACGCCGTTAAACCTCCTGTGTTTCCAAGCATATAGGTATGGTTTCTTTTTTTCTGACAGTTTTTTAAGAGCAGTGCTGTCCAATAGAAATTTCTATGATGATGGAAATGTTTTCTGATTTTGCTGAATACAGCTGTCACTAGAAAATGTGACTATTGAACACTTGAAATGTGGCTACTATGACTAAGTAACTTAATTTTAAGTTTTATTTAATTTCAATTAATTTAAGTTAGAATCGGTACATGTGACTACTGGCTTGTGCATGGGACAGTGCCATTTTAGAGTATAGTTTTAGTTTAGTTTTTTAAGAGCATGGGCACTGAGCCAAACCGTTTACATTCCTATCCAAGCTCTCCTAATTTTATTTGTGTGACATTGAACTGGATAGTTCACCCAGGCCCCAGTTTCCTCATTTTTACCTGCCTTTGAGGTTGTAGGATTAACTATCTTAAATGAAAACCCCTTAGAACAGTGCCTGACCCATTAAAAGTGCTTCATGAATATAAGCTGCTTTAAATCTTTCAGCATTCCACCCATGCCTCTCTTGAGGTATCTCTTCTCCCCATCAGGAAGTGGAGGGTAGGGGCAAGCAACAGTGTACCAACTCTCATCAGCTCAAAAAAGCTGTCTGTGCACATCTCTTCCCAACTCTATGTTCATTATAGTGTGAAATGAGTCATGGTGTGAAGATTTTGTTGTTGTTAAGTGCTGTCGAGTCGGTTCCAACCCATAGTGACCCTGTATAAGGTTTCTGAGGAGCAGCTGGTGAGCTTGAACCACCAGTTCAAATGTCTTTGCAGTCTGACGCATTAACCCCCAGCGCCACAGCAGGACTTACATCATGGTAATTGGCTTAGATTTAGAAGAACATATTAATTTGTAGTGTTATTAAGTAAATGGTATTTTGCTACATAGGAGTAGCAAAAGGGACAGTTAGAAAGACCATTAGAGACATCTTTACTCAAACTAGGATGAAACCTGCATTTGAAACCTGTACTCCTCAAGGCCATGCTGAACAAGTCTGAGATCTGGTTACCTCCCTTTAGACTAAGTGGTCTGTCCATGGTACCACTGATGTATTGACAAATACATGTCAGATGTAGCTGCTGCTTAAATGAATCACTGAAGGTTTACTTCTCTAAAGGATACAGAAAGGAATTAATTTAGTTTAGGCACACAGCAGAGAGAACAGCAACATTTCTGAAGGCAATCAGAGGTACAAACTTCTGAGCAAGGGTGTGGAGTTGTGGGTGATACCCTCTTGTATATGGGGGTAAACGTCCTTCTGGGAGCAGCCTGCACCCTCCTGGCTCAGCATGACATGCACCAGGCTAGAGCACTGGGCACATAGCTCAGTCTCTCCTGGCCCAGGAGTACCTCATTGATCATTAGAAACATAATATGCAGCACTGACCACAGGTCACCATTGTTGTTGTTGTTAAGTGCCTTTGAGTCAGTTCTGACTCACAGTGACCCTATATAGGGTTTCCAAGGAGGAACTGGTAAATTTGAATCACCGACCTTGTAGTTCAAACCGATCTTGTGGTCCAGTGCATTATTCCACAGCACCACACCAGGAATCCATAGGATTCCATTAATTCCTGCAAGAACTCAGTCTTCACTTCTCAGCCTCGGTGTCCTCAGCTCACATGGTTTTGCCTGAGAATGGGCTGGTCCAATCACAGTGCTAGAGTTTCCAAGAAGTCTTTAGGAGTTTTATCTAAAACATTTGAACACTATGAGTTTCCTATTGCTGCAGCAACAAATACTACAAATTTAGTGACTTACAATAATCCAGTTAGGAGGTCCGATGTTCAAGGATGCCTCTGGGTGGACTTGAACCCCCAACTTTTCAGTTAGCAGCCTAGTGCATTCACCGTCTGCACCACCCAGGATCTCCCTAGGACAGTCATTTGTATTTTGTTCACCACCTGACTAGTTAGAGTATATTTCTTGAGGAAAAAAAGATTGCTGTATTCATCATTGAAGAGGATCCCTGTGGCATAGTGAGTTATACATTTGGCAGCTAACTGCTAGGTCAGCAGTTCGAGTCCACCTGCTACTGTGCGGGAGAGAGATGAGGCTGTCTGCTTCCATAGAAATTTAAAGCCTTGGAAACAAGGGGGCGCATTTCTAACCTATCCTATAGGATTGGTATGAGTCAGAATTGACTTGATGGCAGGGGTCTTTGGGGGTATCATAGTAGGCATTCAGGCATTTCATATTCAGCATGTCTCTGATGAAGTATACCATGTCTCTCCAGGCCTGCGTTCCCTAGTTGCCCAAGACCTGGGACATTATCTCTTCACACCTTGTAATGGATTTCTGTGACTTGTCTTTTCAGTACACTGTCTCCTCCCTGCTTCTGTTCATAGTATCAGCCCTTTCTCTAGAACACTCCTCTGTACCATGAGGTTGTTAAAAGGCTGCTCAGTACATGTAATGCCACCCATTATGGACTCCCAAAACATATGTTGTAAAATCCTAACCTGAGATTATAATTCCATTTGGGAATGGAGTTATGTTATGTTAATGAGAAAGATTTAGTGTAGAGTGTGTCTCAAGCCAATCTCTCTGTTTTACATTTTTTTTGTTTTTTGTGTTTTTTTTTTTATGTTTTTAATGTGAATTGAGTGATAGTTTATAAGGGAGAGTATCAGCTTTACATGCATCCTGTCATATTTCGTTTCGTTGCAATGATTACAATCCCCTCCATGCATCATTTGCCTCCATTTCCTCTGTTTTGTTTTTTGTTTTGAATGTACACTGAAGTATTCAGGAATATATAACCATTCAAACAACCAAAGGGCACACCCTGCATGCCTACCCCCTGGCCGTCAGCACACAGCCTCCCTCCATGTGTCTAGAGTCCCCAGTCACTCCATCTTTCCATGTCAATGTCTCTGCCTCCATCTCTGGCATGACTACTCATTGGATAGGGTCCTGCACTCTGCTCTTCTCTCTTGATGGTCCCAGGGTCCTCCACTCCTGGACTGCAAGATCAACCACACCCCTCCTTTTATTCCAAAACGTCTACCTTTTGCAACATTCACAGTCAGTCCTGATAGTAATTATTCACTATTGAACCAAAAGAGTTTTGTCCCCATCTCCTTTCATCAGTCCCATCCAGACGGTCTGGAAGCCACTCAGTGGAGATTCTACCATCCCCTGCACCCTCTGAAACTAAGCTCCCCTCTTGAAAGCTTGAAAGCCAGTCACTTCATGCCTTTGTTGCACCCTCCCCCATTTTAGGTAGCCAATGTCTTAAGTTGCCCATCCCTGTCAACCCTGTGTACAGAGGGTGGTGGTGGTAATGATCCTTGCTTCAATCTCTTTTGAGATAACAAAAGAAATTAAACAAACAAGCACAGGAAACAGAGATGGGGAACACAGACGTCAAGCCACATGAAGACCATCCAGGATCAGAAGCTAAAAGAGACAAAGACCTTCCCTAGAGATGACCTTCCCCTAGAGTCAGACCCCAGATGTCAGACTTCCAGCCTCCTAAACTGTGAGAAAATAAATTTCTGTTTTTAAAGCTACCTACTTGTGATATTTCTGTTATAGCAGCACTAGGTCACTAAGAGACCTACCTGAACTAAGTGTGGTACAGTATTTCCTGAGATAATGGTGGCCCAAGAGTCAATGGTGTGCAGGTAACTACACAAGAATGCTAAGGAAAGCTCTAATGC